TGGCTGTCGCGAGAAATGAAGCCCTCAACTTGATTGGCCAAGTCGAGCTAATTAAATGCTACGAGCCAGCGTAAGGGTCGGGGGGAAACGCGGCGACGAAGAAATTGCCAAGTGTAAAACGATAAACTGTAAATGGGACCGAGCTCGCTGAATGCTGAGGCCGTTGCCACCGGAGTTTGGCAAATTGAAACAGTTTCTGTATACCCCTTGCGCTATTTGCATCGTATAGGCTGCTTCAACGTAGGGTAGTCGCGGGGTCATACTAAAAAAAGGAATTATATAACAGCGTACATCTTAAATATGTACATAAATAGACGTTGCACGTTTGTACACTTGCTATGAAAAATTTATTTCGTGGAACATTCTGTATTTTGCAGTAATCTGACATATAATGCTGAAATACTCTGTAGCTAGCAGTATTATGCTTTATTTTGCTGGAATATTAAGTATTATACTGTGTAACGGTATCAAGGATTACATTGTTGCTTGCTGAACTATGGTATCAGGCCATGTGCAATGCACTACGATCTCGAAACATTCTGTATTTTGCAGTATCGATGATCGAAAAGGTGACGTTAGAGCCTGACCTTGGCGGTGAATCCGTACGAGTCGGAGTTATAGGTGAAACGTTCCGGAAAAGTCACAATCAAGTTTTTCATAAGCCCGCCCTCACGAAGGCTTGTATTCGACCGACACGTGGGTGTCGAACGCAACGGGTGGGGACGGAAATAGAGACCAGCGAGGAGAACTCGATGGGGAAAAAAGTAATTACACGGAATATGAAACACGAGGCGCAGTTTGCAAGTGGCTGAACGTCCTCCAAGCTTTATATTCACTAGGCCGGAAGTCGGCGAAATTAACCTTTATCGCGCGGATGTAAGGACGCGCGTAATATACAGGGTGGAGCACTTAAGAGATGGCAATATTAAAAATCAATTTGAAGAAAAAAAAATCCTAATCATCACGGTAATATTACGTTTTGCAGGATGTTCTGTACCTTGATTGGCACCTAACGAGGTCACCTTAAATGGTACAGACCAGATATCGAGTTTGGAGATTCGAGATATTGGTTTTCTCGAATGGAACATTTTGTTGTTGCAGTTTTTTGTTGCAGAATTCGATGGAATATTGAATTTTGAGTGCAAAAGTATGAAGGTACATCTAAGCTAAGAGTAATACTTTCCAGAATACAGTGAGTCCTCGTTAAGTGTCCCAGAGGAGCGACACTTAACGAGGACTCACTGTATACAGTGTCGCTCCTCTGGGACACTTAACGAGGACTCGCTGTATCTTGGACAATATTATCTTTATGCTTCCATACTTTTATTCTCAGAATGTATCACTCTATCCATTTCTGCTAGAAAATTCAGAAAACTATCTAATAATAATACTTAAACTTACTATTTGGAAGAGTAACCGAAGTACATGAAACCGAGGAAAAACAGTAGGAGGACGACGAATGGCGACACGAGCAATGGAACCAGCGCGACGGCCACTCGATGATCTTCCACAGCTGCGCCTGTAGTCTCCGTGCTCAGTACGTCTATCTTCATAGCTGTTAAACAAACAAAGCTCATCGAAATTCCATAAAAATTGTCGGATTTTTTAAAAGGTATTTCCTAAGAAGAGCCTTTCTTCTTCGAATCATTTCTCAAGTATTTTTTACGCGTCGATATACATTTCTCTTTCAAAATAAATTATCGTATTTCACCAAGAGAAAAATGAAAAGTATATATTCAATCCAATATCAATCGGACGCAGAATGTTTCTCGCGTTTCGCGTTCGTTATTGTCGGAGGAGGAACGGGTTATTATTCTCTATTTACTGGAGAACCCAATAACTTCTGTCATTAGTCGTCAAATTATCGGAAAAGTGCGTCGCGGCTCGTCGAATCCATAGAAACGCTTCCGAAAGTTTTATTCGTTTTCTGGAAAGTTTTCCTGGAAAAGCGTTTTCCTACGCTTGGAAAATTACGTCTGCAGTCGGAACCGAAGATATTTCTGTGTATAGGCTGGTAGGTCGCAGCGTTTCATTGAATACAGGAACGTTAAATATTTTCCTCTCGAAAATCCCTTTTTTTTTGATTCTGCAACGTGTAATCCCATTTCTACGCGAAAAAATAAACCAAAATCGTTATACGAAGTAAAATCGTATGTACCATAGTTCCCGAGTTACAGAAGACCGAATACGACGTTCAAAGTGTTTGGGGCACGGGTAATCGCGAGACTCCTACATCAATCTCCTGTAACTTCGAACCTGTAAGGTATACGAGGTACTTTCGTACAACATGTTTTACTCATTTTTGTTTATAGATTCGCCATGCAAAGTTTCCACGCGCATTTATGAACAATGTTTTACAGCAAAGTAATTTACGAGTGGAACGAAAGATTGCTAATAATTTTGTATGGGTACCCCTCGATGGAAGGCCGCGATATTCGCAATTTTCTTGCAAAGGGGATGCATATAGACGAGCAATTTCACCTAGCAAGTTCTCCTTGATGTTTTCCACCACTTTGAGGATATCGATTCCGGAATAATCGCCCTTTTCCTTTATCAGGACCTCGACCGCCCCGGAACCAGTTCGTCTGACATGCCACGCCATTCTATCCGTGTATCCCTCTATAACGGTGATCACCGCCTCGCGAACCGTCCACAAAGACGCTGTCTTTGGCAAAGACAGTCTGCCACCGCAGTAACGACAACAGTGGCCTTCCACCTGATACATTTGAAACAGTTTCTTGACTCTGAATTATTTTTTCTTTCTCGTACTGATGTAATTTTATTTTTAGGGTTAACTTTAGGACTAAAATTGGCGTGGGGAAAAATAAAAAAGAATTCCTAATAGTGCAGTTTACGAGGAAAACTTAATGCGAGGAACTAATTCCATGAACAATTACTTCGAAAATGATTTAATATCCCGTGAATGGCCCAAAAATGTTAATTTTGAGCGCCCTCCTATTTAAATAAATTTTAAATTTAATTCCGAGCTATTTAAATATCTATTCATAGACTCCATTAATCGAACCGACTCTGAAAGGATACTCGCAAGGAGTGAATCCGCATTTTGGCCTCTCAATAGCGCAAATTTCCTCCAGGTAGTCGCCATTGGGATCCTCCTGACAGGGACACTTCTCGCAGCTGTACTCGGCGTACCTGCACAAATGGCTCGATTAACGACTCGCATAATATTTCTATCAACCCGTAAAGCTTCTATCAATTACAACCCACTTCACGGTGAATCTTCCTTTGCCGAACTCCCGTCTGTTCTCCATGTCCGCCCATTGCCACGCCGACAGAGAGCGCTGCTCGTCCGCAGTTTTGATGGACCTCACTTCTATCTCCTTCATGGGCAGAAGGACGCTGAAAGCTCGGCTTCTATCCGGCAGAACTATGTCGTCCTGTCGGCATGGAACTTGCTCCAGGTGAGGAGCAGCCTTCGAGGCACCCCTCCAATTCTCAGGGTCGGCCCAGAAGAGGTGACCCTCCCTCAGCCATCGACTGGTCCTCTTTCCAGAGGAGCTGGTCAGCTGTCGAACAATTCTGGATCATCTCTTTATTCGCAACAATTTATTTACGTGGATCACACTTGAAAAAAATGATGCAATTTACTTTCTACCATTTTACAGTGTTAGTATGCGATTGGCGAGGTTCAAGATCCAAGAAACCCTTTCAATTTTCAGATCTCTTTACTCGCAGCAATTTATTGACGTGGATGACACTCGAAAAAATCATGGAATTTTCTTTCTACCATTTTGCAGTGTTAGTATATTACTTGTGAGGTTCAAGGTTCAAGAAACCCCTCCAATTTTCAGATCTCTTTTTTCACAACAATTTATTTATGTGGATCACACTTGAAAAAATGATTAAATTCTCTTTCTATTGTTTTGAAGTGTTAGTATACTATTCGAGAGGTCCAAGGTTCAAGGAATCCCTCCAATTTTCAGATCTCTCTATTCGCAACAATTTATTTACGTGAATCACACTTGAAAAATAATGGAATTTTCTTTCTACTATTTTGCAGTGTTATTATGTGATTGTTGAGCTTCAAAGAGGGTCAATTTACTGGCGAGCTTTCGATTGCGTAGCGCAGAGCAATTTTCAGATTTTAATCCAATCCTCCACGTAATCTGTCGAGCATTGCAAAAGTCCATGCGACGCGTTCATATTTTTTGTGTTGCTCATGGGAAGAAATCAAAGCCTGAGCCTCGTTTGTACAAGTCGAAGACAATTAAGGATAATATAATTTAATTCTAGTGCGTGAATATTTATGAATTTACAGGACGTTGTGAATTTACTATCGACGTTGCGAACGGTTTAAACGAATACATACTTGCAGCTTTCCGTTTCTAGTCAGTATCAAGGCCCCAGCTCTGGCGAGATCGATCCCAGCGAGAGTGAAATCCTCGAAATTAGGCATACCAACAGCGTGCCTGGTCTCCAAAGGGAATACTATGTGACTGTCGTCCTTTGGTACACGATTGTCCACCCAATTCTCCGCAGTCTCCCATTGCAAGTCGGGAACCCAAAACTTTTCCACTCCGACGGTCATTTTCACCCCCAAAACGAGTAAAATATAAATTACCACTTCGTGCCGCATGCTGCTCTGCGCGATTTTAAAATCTATCGACACGATCGCTTTAATTTTCCCGTTCGAGACTTAACGTAAAATGTTCGCGGCTTTCATTTTATTTTAAATTTCAAAAGCTTTGCTATTTAGTTAAAAGCTATTTAGTTAAAAATGTAACGTAGTCTCGCGGAGACGAGTATTCCAAGGGTCCGGCGACGGTGAACTGACTCGCCTGATCTAAATCCCGAAGGGGGCGTGTCCGATCCACTGGTGGGCCGCTGCGGGATCGATCTATTTATCGTAATCGTTTCAATTTCAACGATTCCTCGCGCCAGCAGAAAAGTACCATCCGACGATGAAGCTTTTCCACGCACGTTTCATTTTCACCCCTGAAACTGAAATTTTCAGGGGAAGGTTGAATAAGTTACGAATATTTTCTTTTTTCACCGGGGAACATTTATTCGATAAATCGTTAAACACAAGTTGGAACGTTTTCATAAAGAGACGTACAAGATTCACTGGCGGTGAAACACGAAGAAAATTCTGTGACAGGTGACAATCGGGCCTAATGTAAAATGACATTTCGTAATCGCAGATGACGCATATCCAATCGTTTAAATAATAACTCGATCGACGACATTTCTATACTCGATGCTCGCACGGACGCGTTCAGTCGAATTCACGAAAGGTGTTGTCACACCTGGGGAAGATCGGAATAAAAAAGTAATTTCAATTGAATTTAATTATCAACGATCGCGTTCCACTTTAACGGTAACTCTTAATACTGCTCTATTTCTGTTCCACCACCTCGTATATAAACGTCAAATTGTTGTTGTTAAAGTAGAATGTGACCATTGTTTAAAATCATGTCTGCCCAGGTCTGCAATCGTTATTGCAAAAAGCAAAACCAAATTGACGACCTCTTAAGGGGAGGAGGAGAGGGGTAGACACTGAAAGACATCGATTCCTGATCTACGCAAAGACCAACGACATCACGTTCTTTCTGTTGCAGGCAAGGCGATGACCAGAAGTGAAAACATGTTTTCTTAATAAATAATTCGTTTAATTATAAGCGAGTCGCTTAAGAGATACTTTGATATCCAGGACCTCTCAACCTCGACATTAAAACTTCAAAGCTCGGATATGGACGAGCCAATGCTATCGCCGCAGGGAGGTAAAAGAAATTGAACGAAATACACCTGTTCTATATTTCTATAGAACAAATATACTAGAACGCGACGGTTAATGGACCATATCAGGTAACGTAGCCCCGTGTACCATTTGCCATTTGCCATTTGCTGTACTTGACGTTGCTGTTTTACTAAATAATAAATGGTACACATTTATTTAATACTTTCAGTGCCGGAGATACTCGTGAAAATAAATTGCGAAGCTAAAATTTTGTTCCCGTACAATCGGAAATTATATAATCTAACGTTTGTATCTCATCTTACAACCCAGGTCAAAGTTCACGAATCCTATCCGGACTTGTTTTTCTTAACACTCAATCTTCTAAATTCATTTATTTAATTTTTCAGTGAAAATCTCTGTCAGCTACAGATGGGTGTGTTTGTTACACGTGTTTGTTAAACTTCGTAGTATCGTAAAATATTGTTTGGGGCGTGTGATTTATGTTGAATATAGCACAAAATTATCGACAGTGCAGCTCTGCAGGACCTTTCTTTGGGGCGTCCCCTCGGTTACGCATCCCGTTACAGTCGCAAGGAGAGAACAGATCGGAAAGGAGGCGTTGAAACTTCAAAACGTGTCTTTATTGGTGCGTTATCGTTATATTTCGTCTGACAACAGAACTCTGCGACATCGAAATAGAGCTACGTCGTTTACGCGAGCTGCTCCGCGGCCAGGTCCCTGGATCTGCCTCCGCGCGAAGCTTCCTCGACGAGTTCCTATTCCAACGAGTCGTCCTCGTCCTCGGACATCCTCTTGCCCAGGCCGAAGTGGTATCTCTGACCGAAAGCGTCGCTCGGTCTTTTACCGTTTCCTTCGACGAGTACGCGCGCCGCCCTCTTGCCTAGGCCGAAGCTGTACGGTTGTATGGCGCGTTTCTCTTCGAGGAAGTCGTCCAGGTTCTCCTGGGAGCGGTATGCCAGCGGCAGGTAGTCCAGGTTCATCCTGATGGGGTAGTCCGCGGTGTCGCTGCGTTTGCCCAGCCCGAAACTGTACTGCTTCGTTCGCTTGCCCAATCCGAATGAGTACTGGCGCCCTCTCTGGAAAGTTGGAGAAAATCGTAGGTTAGGTTAAGTCTGGCTCTCTGGAAAATTGCAGGAATTTGTAGGTTAGGCTAGGTCTGGCGCCTTCTCTGGAAAGTTGGAGAAAATCATAGGTTAGATTTGATCTGGTCAGGTCTGGCTTCAAATGTTTCACTCAAATTCTTTTACATTGGCGATCTTCAGACTGCGGATCTTTATGCATTTGTAGGAAATTTGAATGTACAAGAACCTACAAAATGCACACAATGTGCAAGAATATAAAAAAAATTCAAAGTAAAGTTCATGTTATAATATTTGCAAAATAAAGTAAATTCTTATTTAGGTTCAATTTTTTAGGCACATTCGCGAAGATTTTATTTTGCATAAAGATCCGCAGTCTAGTGATCTTGAATCTTGGGTGTTCTGGTTCTACCAACCCAACTGTTAGTGATTGTGAATCTCGGGTTTCATGATTTTACCAACCCAACTGTTGGTGATCCTGAATCTCTAGTTTCATGGTTCTACCAACCCAACTGTTGGTGATCCTGAATCTCGAGTCTCATGGTTCTACCAACCCAACCGTTTATGATCTTGAATCTCGTGTATCATGGTTTCTTTCGCGAACCAATGACTGTCCAGTTGTGGCCAGAGACCTACCTTGGAAGATCAGCTTGGAACGCGAAATAACGCTTGGAACTCACCTTGTCATCGCTGTTATCGACCCAACGTTTGCCAATTCCGAAGTTGTAAACGGGTAGCCTCTTATACTCCGACACGTAGGTGTACGCCCTCTTATCCGGGAACGTTTCGTCGAGTCCGGCGGAATTCAGCATCGAGTTGTAGTGTTGAAGATTCAAAGAGGATCCCGGCGACTCCTCCATGGCTGCTGCTGATTTTCCAACAACTCCCACCATGCAGACAAAAGCGATGCTGGTCGTTATCAAGCTCATTCTCGACCTCATTCTCGAGCCTGCGGATGTTTTGATTCTAAACAGACAACATTTTTTTCCCATTCTTGTCACGTCGCCGAAAGTTTGCTCGTTAACACCTTTGCGCGTTCGGCGAAGACGATATTTCATTCGAACGCGAGAGTTGCCCGCGAATATAATTAAAATTAGATGCAATTTGTTTCTGGATTTCAGATTGAGTTGAAAAGTTTCGGATAAAATAACGAACAGGGGCAGGACGCCACGAAAATAGCCCGCTCGCTGTTATAATCCGCGGGGGAATTCGCTTTGTTTTACGCCTTCCTACGAGTCGCGAATTATCGATTCGATTCGCTTAGATGGAGTCGGTCTCTTCGTCAATGGAAGTAACTGAACTCGTAAAACGATGAGAATGGCTGTACAAGATGAATTCAACAGAAAATACGATCCACTTTGACCTCGCCAAGGCCCTCTATCGATCATCCCGTTCGATACGCCACGAATATAAACACAAAAGACCAGTCTGCTGACACGTTACTTTGCAACTGCACGTAAAACTGTTTAAAAGCTTCTAAAGAAGCCTGGACGACGTCTGACGTCATGGGTCATATATGGGTCATTCATGGGTCATTTTGGCCCATTCCAAAGTTTCCCCTCAGGGACTATACCTACACATGATTCTATTGGATTGTCTGAAAAGTCCACGTCGATTTTTGGTAGGTGGTTCTAATTAATTTCAGTAAATCGACTTCACTTATTAAATCTGATAAAAGATCACGAACCATGGATCGCGAACCTAGCCTCAAACCCTGGCAAACATGAAATCTTCCACGCGGGGTGTATCGAGCGCGGTCGAATCCGCACGCACGTATCGAGCTAATCTGCCGAACATCCGGAATCCGCGATTGCATTTAGAAAGAGAGATTAATCGTTGATCTGTCGAGGAATCGCCGTGATCGCCACCTGGCTGTTCAATATTCGATGAAAATCACGGTGCTCCTTGGTCGTGTTCGGTTGCAGGCTCGATTTAGTAGGATTCCACCTACGGATCAGGCAATCAGTGGGCGGACGTCCAAACTCCATAGGTTGGGCTTAATGAAAATCGCCAGAAATTCAATGATTTTGTTGAGCTACGCGTTGGACGATGTCAACCGAGGCATGTGTCAATTAAAGGTCTGAGTTACTGTTCACGTTGATCTCGTTCTAGGATGACGTAGGTGGTTATGGTTGTCGCGTTTAGGCGCGTGCGGCAGTTATGGCTCTGGAGACCATAAGCGTTCTCGAATAGTGCCCCACCAGCTGGGGTTCGACGTAATTTTGACATCATTGACCCTTTAACTGCGGGTCAATTTTTACTGAAAATTCTAAGAGGGATGAAGGTGTGAATTTCAAAAAAATATGAGCTTGTAGGGGATGATGAGACGAAACTTTTTTATATTTACAGTTTATTCATAGAACGTTTAGTTTCAGAGATAAAGATCTTCAGAGGACCTTCTTCCTGAAATTTAATTTTTCCAACGAACTTCTAACGAAACTTCTCACTTTCCAATTTTTATTTTCGAAACTAAGTGTCGTATGAATAAACTATAAATATAAAAAAGTTTCGTCTCATCACCCCCTATAAACTGATATTTTTTAAAAATTGATTTAACGAATACAAACATTGCACAGTCAGGGGATCAAGGGAATCACTAGGAACCACTTCGATCCACATCCTGTCTACCTTCTACTTAAGCCATTCAACTTCGAACATAATCAAAGATCTACCCTAAAAGATCTAGCTCAGGAAAATCTTTTCAGCTTCGATTAGCTTAGATCCCTCCTCCGAAGGTTAAAATTTCCGCTGGCAACAATTTTCTGGATGTTTCATTTCTCGCGAGATGTCGTGAAAATTAAATCGGCCTCGATTCGAAGTGGCAGTCGCGTCGAGGAGAAGGCCAATACGGGAAAGCTCAAACACGCTTTTCCAGGGGTCGTTTAATTTGCAGGATCTACAGTCGCCATTCCAAGGTTCCAGGTGTTACGAAAGAATTTCTCTGAATCATCAGCGTCCTTACAAATTCAATTTCTCGTGTTGGGGTTCCTGGATCGCCATCGCGTGCCTAATTTCACCGTGGTAGCACGCCGGACCCTAATGGGTTATGTTACCGTCGGATTTTTGCAATATAGATTGTTATTTCGTTCAACCCCAGCGTATACTTAACACTTATCTCCCCTTGAGCTAAGAAATGCATCGAAGGGAGTTTCTCGTTTATTTTAGGGGTGGCCAGTGAATACACTACGGATGTTTATTCATTTACTGCAATTGAAAATGTCGGAAATATAATAGAAAATATATGAAACGTCAATAATAAAGTTTAGAAGATGAAGCATACTTTCATTTAAACCATATATGGATGACAGTGCTTTTCACTGGAGACCAAAAGAAATTAACTCTGAAAGTTAATGGTCGAAGAAAATGAATTCGAATGGAATACTTGAATCTCAATGAAGTTACAAAAACAAATACCATAATAAATGTTTGATTATATAGTTTCCAATAGTTCGTAAACAAAATTTAATCACACAGTGTTAAATCTTGGATCTCGATTCTTTATCAAAATTTTTTAAAATACTAATTTGAATAAACATCAGCGTTGTACCAATAAGTGAGCAGAGTTTCAGAATCTGTGACGGTCAACGCGTTTAATCTCGATTCTTTGTTCGAATCTTTAAAAATATTAATTTGGATAAGCGATGCAGCAATATGTGGGAAGAGTTTCGGAATTTGTCTTTGAAGCTTTGTTTCGCGACACGCGATCCTCCTACGTATGCGTATCCACACCCACAAACTAGTTTTATAATTCCACCCTCAAAGAACGGAGAGTTGCCACCCCGTTCACTGCACTTGACAGATCATGCCTCCGAGTGACTTCCATTTTGTTTGATTTCAATTTTCGTCGTTAGATGACGCGGGACAAGCCGTGGGACGAACGGATTAAAGAAACTTCACGTCGACTCTTTGGCGATGGATGCGCGAGATTAATTTATAGATGGAAATAACGTATTCTCATTCTCGGGCTTCTATTATTAAAACCTACCCTTCGTTTACACTTCAAATGGAATAATTCATTACGGATATTGTTATAAAATTAATTTTTAATCTTCCTACTAACGCAGGAAATGAAATTCTCTACTTACTCGCTTCTGGCTTAATGAAGGACGGAGATTCGTTTATTTTCTGAATTCCGACCTATGAATAATAATTAGACGTAAATAAAATGACATCGAACGAGTCGCCGTTTTGCACGAAATTTAAATTTCTTAGCCAAGATTTGAAGGCATAATCGCCCTCTGACCAAGTGAAATCGATGGTCGCAACAGGTGTCTCGACCGGTAGGCGTCGCGACGGGAGTTTGTAATTTATTTTTTAATTACACGTCGCCTCCCGTTTTCATTTCGCGAGCGGTATCAATCCGCGACGACTTCGTTCGCGTTGATTCGTTTAAACAAATTGAAATTCGTCATCACCGTTGGAAAATTTAAAAAAAAAAAAAAAAAAAGAATAAAAAATGAAAGGTAACCAGAAAAAAAGGCACGAATGAACCCGAGTGCGGCGTCGATTTCGCAAAATTGCGACGTCCCTTTGAAACGTCACCCTTTTTACTATCGGAGAACTGGGAGCTTTTTCTGGCGAACTTTCCATGGAATTTTTTGGGTGGCGCCGCTTTGAGCTCCGTGGCTAGCGAATCCGGAAAAGAACTCTCGAATGCTGTGAAGGCATGCGGAAATATCGGTCAATTTTTCACGGATCATCTGACATGTTTTGGACGCATCAATCGTTACGGTATATTAGAATCTAGATTCTTACTTGACCGGTAGAGATTCTCATTATTTTATAATTGTTTCGGGCAACATTTCACAGGTTGGGTAGCGGGTACTTTCCGTGGGAGCATAAAGAAAGCGTGGAAAATTATAGGGCGATCACAAACAGACCTTTAATTTGATATTAAAGACAGTGTTGTAAGTAGATGCAGATTTTTTTGTATTTATAACGTTGAGTAATATTGAAAACATACAAAAAATATGCATGATGTATGAATATATTCTATAGATGTAATATTGCGCGCTAAACGGCCGCAGTAGTGCAGGCTATGCGCTAGACGGCCACAGTAGAATAGACTTCGCGCTAGACAGCCATGGTGCGTAGACTACGCGCTAGACGGCCGCAGTAGTATAAGGTACGCTCCACCGGCGTACTCGCGCTCTAGTCGAGGTCTTCTGTTAATATCTCCTTAACCAAGCCTCGGACAACATTTCCGCTAAGGAAAAAGTTGTTTCAAATCACCCCCCCGAATAACCCCTATCAAGGACCTCCACCATTTTCCGGACACCCTGTATTACCTTGCATCATAAATGCATGAAATCTGCAGTCCACTTACGAGAAACTGAATCCATGTTGACATTCAAGGTTACTCAAAGGTCCTCAATGGTTTCGTAAAATCGCGTACGTCGCGGTGTGAACGCCAGCGGAGCGTGAAGGGTGACTGGTCACGGATTAGCATAATTGGAAACGAGCCGCGAACGTTGAATTCCTTTCGTTCTGATCGCGTTTTCCGGCTCCCTCGTTCGCGGGCGATAAACGACGGTAGTTGCGACGCCCGACGGCGGCGTGTTCACGATGCGCTGCGTAACGAAGTGGATTATTACCATCCGTGTGCAGACACGTACGCAAACAACGACGAGGGGCAAGGGTGTCGGATCGATACGGAAGAATTGCAAAATATCGAGGCCTGCTAGCAGGTTAATTCGATTGCCGTTCCGAAGCATTCGGGACGTTCGATTACAAGGAATATTTATTTTCTTGGATGTTTCCGCAACAGAGAAGATCACGGGCACAAAGACACGCAGGGGAATGGAATTCATGGAGGGGAATCTGAGAGAGTTAATAAGATCTACTGGCGGTCTCAGACGTTTACAAATATGTAGTATAGTGTCTTACCTTTATGTAGTTTAATTTCAATTTTATCTGGTAAATAAAATTGGCACTATTGTGCTTCCCATTTACGATGGACAACGAAGGACC